GGGAGAAGAGGAGACTCCGCATTGCACCGGGAGAAGAGGAGCTGATGGTGAAAATATCCACAGAGAGGAACATGAGACAATGGAGGGAATTCATAACAAATGGAGCAGACCGAATCAGCTTCTCCTTTCAATCTGTTCAGTGACGCTTTGAAAGAGAGAAGGTAGTCGGTTGCCATGGACAACTGCGTTATTTAGTAGAACCCCTTAGTAGGAGTGGACAGGTGGGTGGGGATTAGGATATTGCAGACATGTGGGCAGGGATTAGGGCATTGCATGCATACATGTGGGAGGGGTTTAGGGTATTTCATGCATAAATGTGGGAGGGGTTTAGGGTATTGCATGCAGACATGTGGGCGGGGATTAGGGTATTGCATGCAGACATGTGGGCGGTGATTAGGGCATTGCATGCAGACATGTGGGCAGGGATTAGGGCATTGCATGCAGACATCTGGGCAGGGATTAGCGCATTGCATGCAGACATGTGGGCAGGGATTAGGGCATTGCATGCAGACATGTGGGGGGTGTTTAGGGTATTGCATGCAGACATGTGGGAGGGGTTTAGAGTATTGCATGCATACATGTGGGCGGGGTTTAGGGTATATCATGCAGATATGTGGGCGGGGATTAGGGTATTGCATGCATACATGTGGGCGGGGATTAGGGTATCGTAGACATGTGGGCGGGGAGTGCGTTTGATAAATGTGGTGTTGGGATTCTTCCCAGTCCACATATCTGTGAGTGCGGAGATGAGCTGTCACCTCGGAGGACTGAGCCGCCATTATAGTTTTCGTGTTATCACCACATATAATACGTGTTGTCGCAGTTTAGCGCCACAACAGTCCCGCCCCTTACACCATCTAATCACGCCGTGCGGCGGTGACGTCATTAATCAGCGCCTCCATGCTGGGAACACAGAGAACTCTTCTGGCGGTCGCCGGTAAGCACTTCGCCCCTCCCCCATATTTTACACGTGACAGTTCTGGCGGCCAATCCAATCTCATATCACGAATGAGAGGAATGCTTGCCATAGTACTGATCTATGGGTGGTGGGGAGTGGGGGACTCTATGAATGTGACCCGGTGACAACCCTCCGCCAGAGTCATCTTACACACGATGAGTAGACATAGTAATGGAAGGGGGAGGAGCCCCAATAATCACAATGCCATTTCGTCTGACGCCCATGTGGGG